TGATGATGGCTTCAGATATTTTTTCAGAAAGGTTAAGGGGCCCCTGGATTCAAAGGGCTGGGAAAGACTGGCCTGGGAGATAAATGGCCTGGCCCTGGCATGTGCTGTGCATCCTCAATACATCTGGACTCTGGCTGGAATTAAAATTCATATTGCAGCAGCAATTAAAAGACAGAAGTAGGTCAGGAGCTGCTGTTCAAGGCAAGGAAAGAAAGGAAAAAACCCAGAGTGAGCAGCGTTTGCCTGCTAGGAAATTCAGCTGTGAGAAACTCAGGCTGAGGTAACACTGAGGGGATGAAAGAGGGAAAGGAGAGTTTGGGTGGCTCAGCTCTGGCCCAGCAGGCAAAGGCTGCACACTGACATCAGCTCTCTCGTTGTCCATGGAGAGAGCCTCTCATTGTGCACGGCCAGGGCACCCTCCCTCAGTGCCCTCCCTGTGTGGCACACGCTGGGACAATGCCCTTTGTGAGACCCAACCAGCTCCAGGCGTGGAAAATGGGAATAAAACCACATTGCTTCAGCTGCTCCTTGAAAAACAGAGGGATTTGGTGCAGTCACCTGCAGGCTGGCACAGACCCTCCCTGCAGGCTGCTCCTCTGCTCTTGCAATGCTGACAATTAATGCAGGGCAGGGATCTCATGGGCAGCTCAGCCGCAGAAAACTGAGCAAAGTGAGCCCCAGCCGCCTAATGTTGGTTAAACCTTGCTTTCAGTATAATCTGTTCTTAAAGGCGTCCTGCTAACCAAAACTACATTAAAAAAAAAGTTCTCTTGTTCCGCACAGGAACTTTGCTTGTTAAAGTTTGATTTTATCCAGAAAGGGAATTTAACAATAATTTGAAATGCTCCAAAGAGCAGCAGCTGCTTTCAGAAGAGGCAGAAGCTCTCCATGTGTGGCCCTGGGCTCTGCCTTGCCCTGCTTCTCATGGGAATTGCAGAGCCAAGCCCTGCCAGGTACCTCCCCAAGCTGCCCAGCCTCCCAAATCCATTTCCATGCTGGCAGCTCCACGTGGCACTAGGAATGCAGGGCAATAGAAGCACAAAACTAAATGCAATCAATTAAATCCAAAGAGATGTGAAACCAAATCCCAGAGGAGTCCCAGAGCACACACGGCCATGTGGCCAGAGTTACCTTCTGCTGCCAAAACACTTCTTGTTTTGCCATTTATTTCTCCTACAGATACAAGGGAAAATGTGTCCATATTCTCTCGATTCCAATCTTCTTCTTCCAAAAGACAGCCAAGGTAATTGTTGATTTTGTCACTGGCTATTGTGTGGATTAGCTGATTTTGTCACTGGTTATTGCGTGTTTTCTGCACTGCTTTGTCCTCTGCCCCCCATAAACCCTGCACTGATGGGCTTTAATCACCAGCAGAGGTTTCTGAACCTCATTCCCCTCCTGCCATGGGCACTAAAGACATTTTTAGTTGTTTGTGATCAAGCCTATGCAGGACCCTAATAATTATTACTGGTAGCACACCATCAACAAGCGGGGACACAACACTTAGAGCTGTTGGTACTTTGCAGGGAGGGGAGGAAGAGAATCCCCTGTCACAGATTTTGGTCAGGGTTTATTCCCCACAGGAGTTTGCTCAGTGGATTGCCAGGTGTGAGACTGAGGTGTTACTGCATCACCCAATTAACTGAGTGATTAATGCACAGCTCTGATGGCAATCTGGGACAGGTTTGGGATGGGACCACACACAGGGGTGGGAGTGGGGCAGAGTCCCCTGCTCTCCCAGGGATGCAGAAATGTCTCATGGATCAGTGCAGGAGGGAAGAACACCCTTGAAAATGCCCTGGGGGGAAATTGGGGCTGGGCTGGAGCACAAACAAGCGAGGAGTGTTGGGAACTCTGCTCCCAGGCTGGGATTTAGAGCAGAGGAACTCCTGGAGGAAAAGGGAAAACCTTCATTTTAAATATATGCATTGCAGTTTTATCTGTCTGTAGTCATACATGAAATACAACATGTACATTCACACCAACTCAGCTTTTCCACTTCAAATCACAAGACCACAGAATAACTGAGGTTGGAAAGGACCTCAAAGTCACAGGATCACAGCATCATTGAGGCTGGAAATTACCTCCAAGATCATCAAGTCCAACCTCTGACAAAGTACCAACCATGACAGCGAGATACTCAAGAATAAACACATCAATAATCACAGAAAATGCCTTTTCCATACACAATTTATACAAAAAAAACCCCAAACCATGCCATTCTACATCACTGCACACACAATTTTTGATACAAAACAGGCTGAACCATTCCAGAGCACGTTTTGGCCAAGTTTGAAAATCCTTTCAAGAAATTTGCTTGAACAGCCACCTCTAAAATTCTCAAAAAATAATAAAAACTAAAATGGGCACTTAACCTGTGCCCAATGCCAGAAGGAGATGCTCAAATAATAATTGCTGCACATGTGGTTTGGATTTTTATAGGTAGAACTCAATAAAGAAGAACAGATATAAGAAATGTACCATCAAAATGGATAAAGTTCAAATTGACACACAACCAGTGCTTGTGGGGTTCTCCGAGGATTGGGAACTCTCCATGGGCAGGTTCAGGGACAGAAAGGGACTTCCCTGGAGAGAAATGATGCTGCTGCTGGGACTCTGCACGGAGTAGAGAAGGGAATTGCTGCCCAGGGCCACTCCAGCCTCCTGCAGCCGCCACTTTGTCCCCCCAGCCCTTGGCACTGGGGGCATTTTGTGGCTTACAGCTCTCTGAGAGCGATGTAACCCCAGCTTTAAACTGCTTCTGAAGCAATAAATGCTGTTAATCCACTAAACCTCCTGTTTAAATAGGAACCACCATGTAAGAAAGCTCATGGAAGAAAACCAGCTCGTTCTTGATGGCTCAATGCAACAACAAAAAGCCAAGAGAGACTTAGTGCCAACCTCACTTCAGAGCAAGTTGTTAATACCATTTGGAATCATCATCCAGTGCATTTTTACTTGTAATTTTTTCTATTTTTCCCTCTTTCTGGGTGCTCAGAAGAGAATTTTCCCCCACACAGCAGTGACTGCAAAGGGTCACTCCCCTGCACCCCACCAGTGCTGGCAGCAGCACAGAGCGCCAGGAGCAGTTCATGACTATTTATACTTCACAACCCCATCCTGCTGAAAGCTTTTAGGTAATTAGTTTTCCTCATTAACAGATGCTCCGCCTGGGGAAGGGCACTCAGGTGCTCCCAAGCCCCCTCCTGGATTACAGGGCAGCACCACACGGACTGGGAGGGCAAAGCTCAGAAATGCTGAGCTGGGTTGGTGAAAAGGGCAACAAAACCACCACATTTATATAAAAATGCGTCATTCCTGCAAGATCACAGAGCATCACAGCAGTAAAACACATTCCCTGGATGTTATCACAAGCCCCTTGTATTTAAATCAGATGGACAATATTTATCAACATCCCTTTTAGGGAGAACCAAATATACTTTAAAGGATTTCAGGAGTTTTTTGGTGCTAAAGTTGCATCCTATCCTAAAAAACAAGGAAAAAAAAAGGCAAATTTGATACATCCCATGGACCAAAAAGTGATTTGCAAACACAGGGAACAGGGGCAGCCGATAAAACACGTGGGGTTTGCACCTTCTCCCTGCCACATCCCATCCATTATCTCATTTTTCTCTTTCACACTTGCAGAGGCAAAACGGACATCAGGTAAAGCATAATTTAATATTATCACTAATGCATTCAAACACATCAGCAAGAGCTGTGTTGCTAAAATTGCACTGCAGAAAAACCCAGGTAAAACACTGTTATCTCCTTGGAAAAGCTGGGCCTGCTGCTCCAGCACCCACTGATGTCTGTTGAAAGCAGCAGGATTATTTTCCTGAATAAGGATGACTCCCATGATTAAGGAGTGCAGGATTACATCCATTCTTTGCATATCTCCTGGTGTTTACATATCCCTCTTTTCACCTCTTGGCTTTTGTTATTTTTTTTTTTTTTTTAATTTTTAACACAGGCATTTAATTACTGTTAGCACCAGATATCATTGTGCTGGACTTGTATCCCTTCAAAATTTGGCTGGGTTTGAGATGCCAAAGAAGAAATGCTTTTGTGATCAAAACAAAGGAAATAAAGCAGAAGCAGCAGAATGTGGACTGTGCAATTAAAAACAAATAAAAAGAGAGGGAACTCGTTATTCACAATCAAGGCTTATTCATGATTCATCTCACATCCCTGCTCCTACCCCTGGCCTCTGCTCTCGGGAGCTGATTGCTTTGGTATCAATTTTTAACTGAGTTACCTGAGAGCTCCCAGGCACTGCTGGCAGGAGCACTGCTGGAAAATAACTCAGACAGCTGAAACAAGTATTGTAGGTAGGTGCTGTTAATGATTAACAAAACAAAAATACTTTGATGTTTTTCACCTTATAAAGAAGGGGTCAGAGTTGCTTTAGTTCGTCACTGCCATGTGCTTTATATATTAAATAAATCTCCTCCCTATCCTTAGTAAAATTAAGTTACTTTTCTACTACTTTCAGGTAAAATAGAGAATTTAATGCAGAGTTATTAATTAAGAACTTGATGCAGGTCTCAGGACATTGAGAAATGTCTCTAACTGAATGAAAACAACACCACCACAAGTTAAACTTCCGACAGGGAACCACCTTTTTCTTTATGGGAAACAAACTTCTTTCAAGCTCTCACATCTGACACCAAATTACATTAATCTTAGTTTGGGAAAATTATAAAAGGGAACACAAATATCTTTAGTTTTAGTAGCTTGTTATGGGGGGGGGGGTGGCGTGGGGTTGAAAACTTAAATACCACCAGATAATTTCAGACATCATCATCATTCCTTCAGTGCCAGTTCTGAAGGTGCTGTTTACATATTCCCTAGAGCTAAAAAGAAAAGCACTTCCTGCCTTTTTAGGCTTTTTTAAACCTCACTTTAAACTCCAAAAGAGCAGAGTGTTTTCAGAAAGAGGCACAGGAGCGAAAGGAGCTGGCAGGACGCTGAGAACCCCCGAAGTTGCCCAAACTCACCCCAAATCCGCGGTTCGCTCCATGCCGGGGTGCGGGGGATGCGGGTGCCCGAGGGCTGCGCTCCCGGCCGGGGCATCCCCGGGGCGACAGCGACAGGAGCGGCCGGAGCTGCCAGCACATCAATTATCGGCACATCAATTATTCACCCTGCAGCTGCTCTGCTCTGCTCGTCACTGCCGCCTTTGTGCCCGCAAAAATCGCAGAATTGAACAGCCCCGGGCATGGGAAGGGCTGGGTTGGGGACAGCCCGTGTCGCACTTGTGCCCTCTCGCTCACCCCTGGGTGTTGGGAGCTGTGCAGCTTCTGGATTTAAATATTGGAGTTGTGTCCCTCCTTCGGAGCGTTCTGGAGTTAACAGGAAATGTCCGAATCTGCTGCTTGCACGTATTTCTGTAATGACCTCCCTGAGTTTCAAATAGCGAACACCTGTTTGCCAGAATGTTCCTGTTCACCAAAATGTTCCTGTTCTAAGCATGAAAGGAGGGGAAAAAAGCACAGCAAATTCCTAATTTACTCCAAAATCCATTGCAGTGTTGTTTTTGAAATTATGTTTTGAAGGTGATATTTTCACCTGGATGTTTTCATTTTTATTGCAAATTTTTTAAATAATCAGTGGTAGCACCATTTTTCTCCTTGATGTTTGCCATTTAGAAATCATTAATAAGTGAATGTGATCCAGCCTGGCTTGCTGTCCAAAAGGATACTGAGAGTTCATTTGATTACCGTGCACCAAGGGTTTTTCAAAATCCATTGCAGTCTTGTTTTTGAAATTGTGTTTTGAAGGTGATATTTTCCACTGGGATGTTTTCATTTTTATTGCAAATTTTTAAATTAATCAGTGGTAGCACCGTTCTTCTCCTCGATGTTTGCCATTTAGAAATCATTAATATGTGAATATAATAGCAATTTAATAATCATCCTTCTGGTAATTGATCACAAGACTAATGATGGAACACAATGAGGGATTTTTAATCATTTACCTGTGCAGTTATGTAATGCCTTAATGGGGCAAACAAAGATTCACATCATTTTCTGTAATACTGCTAAGAGCAGCACTGGAATATTGCATGAATTTCAGTATCCATATTCTAAATAGAACTATAGAAAAAACTGCTCAGAAATTATTTGAACTCACTAAGGAGAATTAAAAACATGTGATTCAGCCTGGTTTGCTGTCCAAAAGGATACTGAGAGTTAATTTGATTACAGAGCTTTTTCAAGGAGAAAATACCTCGAAGTACTTCTGAAGTAGATATTTCTTTGGAGACAGTGATTACATACTGCAAAAATGTTCTGAGTACACCAGTGACCTCTGCATTTCTTAGATACCTTTCTAGAAAATATGCTTTTGCCAAACAAACAACAAAATTCACAGAACTTAAAATGCAGAGAACGTAAGAGCAGATTCCTTTAAATCCTTTTAGAGTTGCATTGTGCTCGTGTTGTTCCTTGGATCTCCACTACCTTCCTATCAGCTGCACGTGGTGATTTTAGCAATCTTTAAATAAATAAAAAAGAAAAATTGCGATGATTTCAGGATTTCACCCAAAGAACCATGACATTGTAATGCAAATGAGGCTGATGAATGTTTCATGGCAGACTTCAAAACGTTTGCTGCTGAGCCTTTCTAGAGCAGCCCAGGTGGATGCACTTCTCCTCCCACCTTTTTCTCATTATTCCAGTTAGGATGAGAAAGAAAAACAACTTGGGGCACAAGGACATGAAATAATGTGATTTTGCTTGAGAATTATAAATGAAGCTTATTTCTGCCTCTAATATTCTGGCTCTAGACAGGTTTAGACTGAGAAAAACACAACTTTATTCAGTGTTTGATGTAGATTGGATTGAATGACTTTTAAGACTTTGATCACCAGCTTAAAACTGCAGCAGGGACAGAAGGGCTTGTGATTATCTGCTGGATTTTGGCACCAGCCAGGATCTGCTGTTCCTTCCAGATTGCAGGTGCTCTTTGGAGGTGCTGATTACAGAGATCACTGCTGAGGTCACCCCCTCCTATGGCAGACTTGTGACAACGGCCAAAAAAAATGTGTGTTCACCTGAACTGAATGCTGGAGATGTCCTTTAGGATGTGTGCGGCATGAAAGGAAAGGTCAGGCTGCAAGGAAGAAGATAGCCAGGCAGATATTGGCCAAGCCAGCCCTTGGAAGCGTTTCCCAGCAGGATGCTCTGAGCCCAAACCCAGCCCTGATTGTGAGCATTAAATGATATCTCTGGCTGCAGCTGGGCAGGGCATTGTGCAGCTCCAGATCGGCTCCAGCCCCAAAACTGGCACATCCTGCACCCCTCCAGAGGATTGTGCAGCTCCAGATCAGCTCCAGTGTGACAGTGTTCACAGGGGTTCTTGGAGTGAGGGAAGAGATGAGGATCTGACTCCATGTTCCACAAGGCTGATTTATTATTTTATTATATATATTACATTAAAACTATACTAAAAGAATAGAAGAAAATATTTCATCAGAAGGCTAACTAAGAATAGAAAGGAAAGAATGATAACAAAGCTTCTGTCTTGGACAGAGAGTCTGAGCCAGCTGACTGTGATTGGCCATTAATTAGAAACAACCACCTGTTGCATTCCACAGCAGCAGATAATCAATGTTTACATTTTGTTCCTGAGGCCTCTCAGCTTCTCAGGAGGAAAAATCCTAAGGAAAGGATTTTTCATGAAAAAATGTCTGCGACACTCCAGCCCCAGAGCTGGCACCTCCTGCCACCCCTCCAGAGGTCTGCAGGTGGATGGTGAACACCAAAAAGTGCAAGGGGCACGGGGAAGGGAAAGGGAATTGCTGTCTGCTGGTGCTACATGATTTTTGCCTGGGAAAAAAAAAAAACTTGATTGACAGAGTTGTAGCTGAGAGTCCCTGTTCAGACAGTGTCACATATGCAAGGCAGTGACAAATTATGCTTGACTGCACTTGAAAGCTGCAGAAATGTTGAGTAGCACGGGCAGGGAGATGGGGTTCCTATCCATTGCCATCAAAATATCATCTTTTAGTGCTGTTGACAGTTTAATAGCTACTTCTGGATGGTGGAGAGCATTGTGAAGTGCTGCCACTGTATTATTAACCCAGGCTGGAGCTTCCCTGCAAATCAGAGCGAAAATCCATACAAATGGAACTTCTGAAACAGTTTTAGATTAAAGGTGTGCTGGTCATAACAGGAATTGTGTCTCTCTGTCTGCATCCCAGGGGGATCCAACAACTCTTTAACCCCTGATTACGTTATCATTTATTTTCTGAGCTTACAGAATCATTCATGTTGGAAAAGACTCCAAAACCATCAAATCCAGCCATTAACCCAGCACTGCCACATCCACCACTAAACCACATCCATAAGCACATCCCAGGGCCAAATTCCATTCCATTTTCAAAACCCAGGTGATGGAATTCTGCTCAAATCAAACATTTTTGGTTCCATTTGTCTCCTCCAGGCAGCTGAGGTGGGATGTGGATATGGATATTTCCATGTGGACATATCCTGCTCTGATCTGCAGGATGCAGTGTGTGACTCTCCACTGCTCCTGGGAAAATGCAGCTGTGCAAAGCTGGATCCAAGGATGTGACTGTCTGAAATCGTTCCTGGGATGTACAGAGCTGTGCCACACCTTGGAAATGGCTTGCAGGGCCCCAGTCTGTGACAGTTCAGAGCAGATTTGTGCAATATCACCCAGCCTCAGCACATCCTGTGGCTGGGGAGGTGTGGTGTGATGGTGTGAGCACAGGACAGGTTTGGGATTGAGCAGATTGGAGTGTGACTCTCTATTGATACCTTTAAATTAGCTATCACTGTAGTATCTGCTTTCTGTCAGGGTGCTGCAGGAAATCAGTGAGATGCATCTGGGAGGGGAGTGAATCAATTCCCTGCTCTGCCTGGGGGCTGACCCTTCCCTGTTGGCTCTTTCCCAGCTTGTCACCTCACTCATTTCCCTTTTTTCCCACTCTTCCTTGGCACCATTGGCAGGGAATGTGTTCCCTGATGGGACACCTGCCTAGAACTGCCACCTGCCCACGGTGGCACCTGCCCCAGGGGGCTGAGCTGACTTTGGGGTGAGACTCTCAGCATTTTGCCTCTGTGCTCAGCTCTGATGAGGAGCACCTTGAGTCCTGTCCCCACTTTGGAGTCCCTCACTTAAGAAAGGAAATTGAGGGGCTGGAACTGGTCCAGGGAAGGGAATGGAGGTGGGGAAGGGGCTGGAGCCCCAGGAGGGGCTGAGGGAGCTGGGAAGGGGCTCAGCCTGGAGAAAAGGGGGATCAGGGGGGACCTTGTGTCTCTGCACAGCTCCTGACAGGAGGGGACAGCCAGGGGGGTCGGGCTCTGCTCCTGGGGAACAGGAGCAGAGGGAACAGTAGTAGTATATAGTAGTATATAATTTAGTATATAGTAATATATAGTAGTATACATAGTAGTAGTATATAATATATATAGTAGTATATATATAATATATATAGTAGTATATATATTGTATATATATATACAGTAGTGTATAATAGTAATATATAGTAGTAATATAGTAATAGTAATATAATGATAGTAGTATATTATTTACATTATAAATAATATAATATAATATCATATCATATCATATCTTATATTATATTATATTATATTATATTATATTATATTATATGTAGAATAGAATAGAATATGTAATATTTATATTTAATAGTTTTGTATTATTATATAGTATAATTAATATAATAAATTATATTATATAATACTAATATATTATATTTATATTATAAATGATGTTATAGTATATAATTTATATTTATAAAATTATATATCCGTTCTAGAATATATGTATATGTATATATAAATGTCAGTATGAATATATAGAAATGTGTATATATATATATGTGTATATATGTGTGTATATATAATGTGTATATGTGTATACATGATATACTCCTGCCAGGAGGGCACAGCCAGGGCGGGTCAGGCTCTGCTCCAGGAACAGGGACAGGAGCAGAGGGAACGGCCTCAGGCTGGGCCAGGGCAGGCTCAGGGTGGGCACAGCAGGAATTTCTTCCTGGAGAGGACTGGAAGCACAGGAACAGG